TTCTCTGTACCGAAAGGTTGAAGTAGCCTGCCCCCGCCCTTCTGCCTGAGCGCGCCGTCGCACCGCACTGCCCTCTGCACTGACCCAAAGGTCGTGGACCGAAAGAACCGCCGGACGCTTGTGCAATCACGGAGGGAGCAGAGCACTTTCTCCTGCGACTCATGAGGTCTTTGGCGAACCCAGGGAGATAGTGTGAGGAGGGCTTGTCGACACGGGAAGAACAAGGGAGATTTGCGAAGGGATTTTCTCCGGCAGGTCATTAACATCCCTTCGGTTAATGGATTCGAATGGCTAGATCCTAAGACGTCGCGAGAATTTAGTATTTTTAGTAGAAAATCAACGAATATGAATCGTTTTATTCATTTATGTGATAAATATGAACGATTTAATTTGCAGAGCAACGACCTTAAATTGCCTACCTCCTCAATCTCTTTGTAAAATACTGTGCTACATCCACAAAATATAGGATGAAAACCATCTTGTGAATAGTACCCTAAATATTAATATTATGCCGCACAGACCGCGCACGTTTCACCATTATAGGTGCCCTGAAACCCTAAAACAAAGGTACAAAATCCTGAATAGTAGTCTACTCACCATGCACTGGTGTTTGACGGGTCACATTCTAACGCATCCAAAGATATTTCGATTTCCCGCCAAACATCATCAATGCATGTAGCGTTGCCTATAAGTAGTGACAAATGTCACATGTGTAATGGCCCATTCACAAAGCAAACATAAACATAAGCTGGGCGTTAACATAAAAGTTAGGACTACGTCCATAAGCGGACTCATTCACAATGCTTTCGCATTAGCATAACACGTAAAACGTTAACTTAAAAGCTTGCAAGCTTCAAGCTTCTGTGCTTATGCTTACGTAAGACATAAGAAATGAACCTATCACAGTACGTTAACTCAAAATCGAAAATCTAAATTGGAGCGAAGTCGACAGAAGAACAAACGCCATATGGGACCTAGACACAGTCGATACCTTGAAATCTATTCTCACATCCAACCAGAAAGTCTCCCAGCCAATAGAAATTTATATTGCTAACGTTTATGTTTGGCATTGTGAATACTTCAGTCTATCGCTTATTTTAATGTTTATGTCTATGCGCTATGTTTATGTTTACGTTTGTATTGTGAATGGGCCTTAACACGTAAGACAACTTAAAAGCTTGCAAGCATCAAGCTTCTGTGATTATGCTTAAATAAGACAAGAAATAAACCAATCACAGAACGGTAACTCAAAATTGATAATCGAAATTGGAACGCAGTCGGTAGAACTAACGCCATGAGCCAAGAACACAATCGATACCTTGAAATCGATTCTCACATCCAGCCAATAGAAACTTATTTTTCTTACGTTTATATTAGACATTGTGAATACCTCAGTCTACCACTTACGTTAATATTTGTCTAGGCGCTATTCTTATGTTTACGTTTACATTGTAAACTTCGCTGTATCTTAACCTTGCTGTATCCCACTACACTTTCATTAGCAAAACGTAATCATCTTCAACCATCCTACACGGCCTAGAGGCTATTAATACAAATTTATTCTGCGACATCCTGCGTATGAACAAGACAATATACTTTTGCGCTATCGTGGACTCACAAAATAAGATATTCTGACGACAAATCGGTACACTGTCTTTCATCAATACAATCATTTCTCTATTCTACATGCACGAGAAAGTGAAATGGAAGAAATTGACAATGTCATACGTTGATGAGGTTGTTTTGGCAATATACTATAAACATTTCAACTTTCTGTCTTCAAATAATACCATCTTCAATTATTCATAAACTGAATTCAATGTTTTCGGATACTGTTATAATACGTAACAAATAAAGTTGCAATCCCTTTCTCTCATCTGTTAGCTATTCAATTGGAATAAAACTTCAAATTAACAAAAGAAGTACGTATGAACTTTTATAAAGAAAAACTTCAGGGAAAGTATGTTCGTCTAAATCAATTATATTTTTTTAAAGAACAGATATGGTGCATATGTGTTAGTTCCAGCATAACACTGTAAAGCCTCGAGCAATTTCACAAACTTGATGCACATATTACGTACACAGAATACAGTGAGGAATATGCTCCTAGATAGGAAAAGGGATCCACTGATAAGGTTTTGCGATCTGCAATGTATCTAATGCAGGCAGAGCGAACAGAGAGCGAATCGAGCGAGCGAGAAAAAAAAGAAGGAAAAAAAGGAGAGAGAAAGAGAGAGAGACAGAGAGAGAGAGAGCGGGATGGACAAAGCATAATGCATGTGGAACGGGTTAAACGAGCAGAAAAGATATCTCACGAACTGAGCTGGTTTTGGTAGTTTCCGGGTACGTCAACTGATTTAGTCATTAAACCTGTTAGTGTAGAGAACGTTCCATCCCGGGAGGTGGCGGTGTTCCTCCCCAGTGGATGGTGAGATTCGGCGTCGACCTACACGTCGACTTGTGGGAAATTTCCCCAAGCAGGTATCTCCCACCAGCGAGGACCACCTCAACGGGGCACGTTCTAGGCTCGCGACATGTCAGTGCATTGAAATGAGCGTGCGTGCGCCTACGTGTAAGAGAAGATGGGGAAAGATAGAAAAAAGAAAGATCGCGAACGATTCGTGGTCATCTATTAAGATACTGCGTCGATATTCACCTGTTATTAATCGGAGATACCAACGAAAACTACCGATCAGAAAAGCCGACTGCTAGAAATCTCCTCCACACAGCGGCTGAACCGACCTAGCTATCTGTCGAAAAGCCGCCATCGTCCTGAACCTCGCGTCCTCTCCGGCGAAATCACTGCAGAGTCCTCGGCAATGCCGGTTCAGAGTTCAACTCAGTCGGTAGCTCGTTGTTTTATTCACTTCAAACAACCGCCAGACTCAAAAAATCTGTCCGTTACTTAAGAGTTTGGAAGTGTTGAGCATTTTGCAGCAGGAGAACATAAAGCGTCTTCATAATGTATTTGATACGACACTTGTTGTGCTTCTCTTCCGAGTGGCACACGATTGAATGCTCTCCTGACATACTTTCATGACGTGTCACAATACTCATCGAAACTACCACGCGAAAACTCATTCATTGTGCTCATGATTTAGATTGTTCATCTTGTTGGCGACTTTGGGTTCTCCACATTCCATTGTACTAAATATAAATAATAAATGCATCCTATTAACTTGAACAACAATTCGTCGGGTAATTCTCAATGAAAGCAAATTATAAAATGTACATGCTTATATTTAATTTACATTGTATAGGTCTTAATTTTGTGCATCAATATTTAAATATATATTTCTTGCTGTGAAGGCAGACTTATGAAATTTTGAGTTTTTTATAACTTATATTATAATAAATAGTCACGGTTTCTGAGGAAGTTCCCACTGTAATGTCTTAACATACATTCAATGTAAAAATGGCCAAAATCATCATTCTTAGGGTGTACTGAAACATACATTCATCAAGTAAATGGACCACACGACGCAGGTACGAGGAACAGCTGAGATATGGCATCTACGACTATTTATTACGCAAGTGTCAGTCCAAGTCGGTCCGAACCCTAACTCCACATTATTTAACAGAGTACACAATTTTCAGAAATAGATCCTGTCCCTTCTATCTGGTTCATCTTGAGGCCCTCCACCTCTTAGGCAAATATATATTTTATGCAGATTATTTTTTGGGTGGTGTCGCTCAATCAATCTCCCACGCAAGTAAAAAATCTGTTAGAGGAGAAAATTGAATCCTATTTTCGATACTTCTCCACCTGTCAGGAGAAAATATAGAAGTGACAACAGTGCAATTGTATCTGTTCAGTTGTGTCTGTATGACATGTTTAATAGTAAAAAAGAAATATGAAGACTCCAATCTTGTTACTTGACAGTTCCCTTTGGAAATTGTTATAGAGAGTGGAAATATAAATATTTTAGTTTTCCAAAAATTATTGAAAAACTTCAGGTTTATACAAAATGTCTTTAAAAAATTAGAACATATTCTGTACAAATCTGAAATAATAATGTCATCAGTAAGCCGAGTGTACTTATAAAAATATATGGAGATAATCGAAACCCCTGTCAGTATTCTCTAGGGATCACTTTTACCGAACCTAGAGATTGCATAAATGCTGGCCTGTAGATAGAACAACATATTGGAACGTCAGAATCGCGACGTGTGTGCTAGAGGGTGCACTTGCACACTCTTTCCGAACGAAATGGGTAAAATTTCATGGTTAGCCTACTTTGATGTAATTTTAACATTTAAATCATTTAACAACATAAATTAAATATTGTAAATCAATAAATAGGGTAGTCGTTGACACATAAAATAATCACTAGGTACTGGCAAGATTTATTTCTTTATGGGATACATCATCCCGGACACCCGCCTGATGGCACCAATGTATTGGAAGGCCATTGGTGCGATGAATTGTAAACAAAATATACAGGTCTTTATTTCGATATACGAACTAATTTTGATTCGTGAATGTTGATGAAATGTTATGAGGAAACGTAACAGGGTTATTAGCAGGAGAATAAGGTGATACCCAACAAAAATCAAGTATCTCACAATAGTTCGTATGAAAATAATAAATACCGTCGTATATTTAAATCTCTAATATGTGACCCAATCGGATTTGTTTATGCATGTTTTTATAAAACGAAACATTTTTAATTACGAACAATTTATAATTTTATTAAATTATTGGTGCGCGTATCAATGACAAGTGATTGAAGTTCACGCAATGACAAGTGATTGAAGTTTACGAAGTAAGCATCTACATGAAGCTTTTTGTCAGGGCAAATTCCAAAATGGGAAAATGTAATATATGAAAATCCATAAGATATGGAAAAAGAAAAATATTACTTTTGGATTATATCTCGATATATATTTCAGGAAAGTTGCTGATACATGATTAGTTTCGGTTTCGAAGCATCCATTCATATTCTTACTTTATACAGCTTGTTGACGTTAATAAATTATTAAACAAACATAACACTTACCCAAAATGTATCCTTGAACATAGATGTCATGGTATTATATTAGAATTTCACAGGGTAAAATAACGGCGATCACGCGCACATGTTCACATAAATCACAAACCCTTAGAACGTTGGAAGAAAATTTTGTCACAAAACCTGTTCTTGATTTTTCAAATGTCAGTAATAAAGTTTTTAATAATGTTCACGATTGACGAGCACCAAAATCTTGCAACTTAAAAAGCACGAAATCATAACTATTAAGAAAATTATTTTGATTACTGACTCGGTTGTGTGTCGACGTACGTACACACCACAGAACCCACTGAAGGAGCTGAGCGATGCCGTGTCCGCGTTGGCTTTCGCTTTACTATTCGACCGCGGTTTCTTTTGAAAGCTTGGATGAGAGTGCGTTCTTGTGGCTGAGTATACAATCCGCGTTTCGTTCAGTAATTTACCATATCAGCCGCCAGAGTGCGGCACCATACACACTTACGAAACAAGAGAAGATCAATTCTGACTATTTGGAAAAGATTTCCCCCTATATAATTAATATCGATTTGTTTTGCTTGTCGATGTGTCTTTTAAAAATGTTATTCTTTAAAAATTTATTCAAGATATTATGAATAGTGGTGCTATCTTGTAGCTCATTATTACAGTAAAATCGATGCAATCTCGATTGTTGCGATTGCGACAATCGACATTGTAATTTCACATCGTGCCGCTCGGATTTCAGACTGTGTGAAGATGTCTGGAGAACAACAGTAAGTCATAAATTTTCATTATTTGCATGTAATAGAGAATACTCTAATCTGTTGTATAAATTTCTGCGTTACTTTCTTCCAATTGTTGGTTGTTCTCATTATTTTCACGTTTTGTGGTTGTCGAGGCATGGCATGAGAAGCATCCATGCAATTCGAATGGCCGCCATCTTTGATTTTTGGACGGCGCTTCCCTTTATTGATTACCGAAGTTTCTGGAGTGCTTAACTGTTTGAGACGGTTGTCGTTGCCTTTTCTTCGATTTTGATTCAGATTCGCATCAGAGGCATTTGATAATTGGTCCTAGCCTAACACTTTCAATTCGTTTCGTGTTTGATTCATTGTAGTTGCGTCGAGCGTTCGTGTTCTTAGTACCGGGACGTAACTCGCAACTTCGTATTTCAATTGCACAGAAAGTGGTATAATGGTTCACGACGAACTGTACGTATTGTTTCTATCAAGTGGTAGATTTTCTAGCATTAATCATGAGTTTCTAATTGTGTGATATATTATGTACTTACTTTATTGTGGTGATGTGTAGTTGAGCGATAAGTGTCTTTGAAAACAAAATCTATTCATTATATATTTTTTAGTAATTGGGTCTTTTCCGATTGTTGAGTTGCAATTTATGCTACTTTAATCATGTTCTTGTGGTTATAGTTAACGGTGGTAATGATCGAATCTTGCCCGTATAGGTTAGGTTTATGTAGAATGTTATCGTCTCGTCATCGTGCTGCAATTTCACGTGTTTAAGTAGGAAAGTTCATTGTTTCCTTGGGAGGATCGATGTGCTTTTTCTTGTATAATTTAACCGTTGGTGTTTCATTGAAACAGAAATCGCATTAGTTTCATCCCGTGTTACGTAATATTACTGGCGTGGTCGTGGGAATAGTGAGTGGTAGCATTTGATGAATAACTTGTTGAATTTCATGATTTTTTGTTTTACAGGGCAGTTCCTCCTTCCGTCATGTGGGCGCAAAGGCCCCATGTTATATTCCTAACATTTTGTCTTGAAGACTGTAAAAACCCTGAAATTAAAATTGAAAGTGACAAAATATTTTTCAAGGGTGTAGGAGGCACAGAAAAGAAGCCTCATGAAGTTACAATACCTCTTTTCAAGGAAATAGACCCAGAGGTATGTTGGATATTAAATCTCAAGTTCCAACTCCTGTAAATTGTATTATATAGGAATGATCATTTGGAGGAATAATTTGTTTTGCTCTTCAGAAATCTCTAATCAAAATTAGTACATTTTTATTGGTGCTTGAATTCTGAGAATGTAAATTGCAGCAGTGCCAGAAACTAGGCTCCATTGGAAAATAGGTTTTCAATAGTTCTTTTATTGTAAATTATGAGAACAAAGGATCAAAATGTAAAGTTCTACTTTGTGATGTTTGTAATTTGATGTACTATTATATTTCATTGTTCTAGAATTAGTGTGGGGTGAAAGCACCCTAAATTATTGTTCCTGCTGAATTTTCAAAGATACTTATAAGCATAAATTTCATGATACACATGTACACCTAATTTGAAATTTTGTTTGGAACTTTTCTCGAGTTTGAACACTCATGATGTACTCAATTTTTGTCCTAAAAGGAAGTGTAGGTAGCTCAAAACAATCTTTGTATTGTTTTTTTATAACTAAATATAAGGCAGGGTTGACTCACTTTGTTTGCTTCATTCATGTTAATGGTGAGCCACTGGCGTTCATCCTTGTCAATTTACCTAAATGAACAGATTGGACAATGCAAAGTTAACATTGCTATTGAATTTTTGGCACAGAATGCAAATCTTACAAAAATGTATATCTGTAGTCATATGTTGCAGGAAAGGTGGTGTCACCACTTTTCCTACAGCCCCCACAAATGGAGCGATAAAAATAAAATCCAGCAATTTTTAATTTGCATTATAAATTGACTAGATGATGAGTAATATTTCACTTAGTTTTATTATCTTCACATCATTGCTTGTGTAAAGTTTGGACATGAGCAGTTAAAACACCAGATGGGAATGAATGGTTTTAATGAAGCCTAGTTGAAAGAACATTGGAAATTCATTGTAATGATTCTTTTTATTTTCTTTCCTTAACCGTACCACGAGGTAAACAAGTTCTTCAAAATTCTTTTAAAAATAATTTGCATTCAATATTTATAATTACAAGTAAATTATAGAGCACATCTTTGTTACCCTGTGTTTTTTTCATGTTACAAAAAAATTTGACAAAGTCAACTTTATGCATGTACGTACGTTCTACAGCCTTGTGAGGGTAAGGTCTACCATTGTATCCCAGCCTCATGGCTATGGGTTCAGGAGACCTTTGGTAAGCGGGTCCCAATGCTTTACACCATTTGACATTCTCTACCTGAAAGAAGTTTTTAAATTGTCTCACAGCTATATGAATTGGGTATAGCAGAGAAAATAAACTACATAATTTTGGCCCTATCATGGTATTGAACCCAAGGTCATGATTATATTAAACATTTTGAAACGTTGACTTAATCAATCGATATCAATACCTAACTTTTGTTTCTACTAAAACAGAGGTATTTTAAGCAAGTGTCCAAATTTCATGTGTACCTCATAACTTCATATCTTATTTTATTACATAGTTACTTTCAGAACTGTGTGAGGAAGATCTTTTTGTTTAAAATGAAAGATGTCCGATTGATCTTTGTGAAATATTATAAGATGGGTTCAAGAAAGACATTAATGCATTTTGCTAATATTTTGCATCGTCATGCTGGACTTCTTCAGAACTACATAATATTTATAATGGTTAATTTTATATGATGTTCATGTATGATACAATACACAATACAATGTTATATTCAACCATAGTCCTACCATACTTGGACAAATGAGTATGGTAGGAGTTTGTTCAAGTGTAACTTCAATTTGTTGAAGATATTTTGCATGTAACATGATGTATCATAATTATGAAAATTATAGTATAAAATAACTAATGTAAATAGTATCATGTGGCTCTGAAGAGGTTTAGTATGACTGAATGAAACATCAGCAAAATACATTACTGTAAAGTTTCTGAACAGAGTTCTTGATCCACCTGGTCATTCCACATTCCAGGTGGATCTATTATATTATATTTTCAGAGTTAATTATGTACCATCTGAAGAACGTTATTCTACTTTCAGAAATCTCTCAAATTCGTAAGAGACAGAAACATTGAGTTAGTACTTAAAAAGAAAGAAGAAGGTGGTCCTTATTGGCCACACCTTCTAAAGGATAAGAAGAAATACCATTGGCTTAAAGTTGACTTCAACAAATGGAAAGATGAGGATGACAGTGATGATGATGTTGGACAGTCAGAAGACCTTGAAGAGGTAAATCATATTGAATGATATTAGCTTGTCTTTATTAATTGTGCGTCTTTATTAATTTTGTGTCTTTATTAATGTACTAATTGATTTATTCTGCAGATGATGCGTCAAATGGGAGGCCTTGGTGGATCTGGTGACAACAAACCAAGCTTTGATGACCTTGATGGAGAGTCAGATTCTGATGATGAAGATTTACCAGATTTAGAGTGATGTGATAAAAATGAGTTAATTCACTCAAACCTTTCGAACTAAAGAGAGGACCAACCACAATCTTTTAATAAATAAGGCCCTGTGAAATCTATAATCGTGTATTAATTACATCGGGGCATCGCACGTTACAACAGAAAAATCCCCCAATGATATGTGCTGAAATAGATTGAAAGTTGTTTAGGGAGATTGACAGCTTTCTAAACAGTCAGGAATTTGGCGCTTTACTTTAATGTTCATCTTTCATATTATGATAAAAGTTTAAAAAAATTTCGGGAGGAATTGAATGGATTATTATTTTTGGGTAGAAATTATTTGTCTTGGACTGGCATGAAATTTTCAAGTTTGCTAAATTTCTGTGTTACAGTTTCATTAACAACATGACTAGCAAAATATATTTAAGGAGTTAGGCTTTTTTATACTATTTACATTTCTGTTGTAATTGTTACATGTTTTTCCATTTCCATAATATACCAAAATAGAATTATAATAATTTTGTGGTGATGCATTGACTTGTGAAGGCTTGTTCATACATCAAGAGAAGGACTTAAATTGGAAAAGCAGTGTCTTGTAATTTTGTGTTCTTAAAACAGTTTTTAAAAAGGCTCATAGAGATGGGAAAATGCCATGAGAATTATTTGTAGCTACTGAAAAAATTCTTATTAGTTGCATCTTTAACTGTACTTTAGTAATAACTAGCCAAGATTGTATGCAACTGGTAAAATGTGTTTGATGCCATGGTAAAATCTTTTTAAAATACTTTGCGTGCTTGATTCTGTGTCGTGCAGAGTATTAGTCTGTTATGAGCATGAAAACTGGTATTCACCCATCTCTAAATATGGAATGTAATGATTGTTAAATAAATTTCTTATGTAGACAGCAGGTGTATTGTTTAAAAATGATTGCTTGTATGAATTTTTGGCCCAGAGTTGACTGACAAATATAAGGCGTAACTTGGGGTAGCAACCCCTTCCTCATTTGTTTGGATTTTTATTAAATTATGCATTTGCAAAAGATATTTGAAAATGTGGATAAAATTCTATATTGATGTATTTACCCAAATGTAAGGTGAGGGTATTTCCCAAATCTCTTTTCGAAAAATACAAAGTAGGCTTATTTTCAGAAATAAAATTGTGGATAGGATTTATATTTTTACGCTGCCTTTCCATGCCAAGAAGAAACTCAAAAGATTGATGAAAGGCAAAAAAAGTGTATTGATCGATTACACACAATAGTGGGTGGATTGTCATCTGTGAATTTGCCAGCTGATTCAGACCAATAGTTTGAATGGAATGGTAAAAAGAATATCTCGAGTAAGTGGAATTGTATTAAGCGGTAATGCTGAGATTTTGTTACGTTGTGCATTGATCAAGGCTGCACAAAGCGTTTGACACCCAGTGAGTGCGAATCTGCATCTTTGCAAGAAATGGAAATGAAAAACTGTTTTGATAGAAGTACATATTTCACATACAACCACACAAAGTTAAAAAATATGTTCTTAGCAAAAAGCTGTGAAATTTGAAAGCTTGTTCTCATTTCTTGTGGAAGAGAGATGTAATAGTTTACCTCTCCCCCTCACCAACATCAATAATCTTCTTCAAATCAGCATTGTTTAAAGAATGAGAAAACAAAAAATTTGAAGCCACTAGTGATAAAAATGAGAATGTAAATAAATATATCACAGATGAATGTAGATTCAATGTCCAAAACTTCCAAGGCAGCCTAAAAAGTCAGAGGATGATGCAGCATGGAAGAACTAGAAACAAACAATAAAGATGGGGTGGCAAAAAAAATAATAGTTTAAAGAACAAGAAAATAGTGATAGTTATTTTGACCAAATAGCAAGAATTAGTTTAATATATACTACAGAAAAACAAGTTATCAAGAGGCCTCTTCAAAATTAAAGGGTCAACGTAGTTGGATAAAAACGGTATTTGTGGCCTTCAGCAGCAAAAATACAAAACTACTCAAGAACAAATTACTCTTATAATATAAACAATTATAAAAGCAGTAAATTAAATATTTTAATGAATACTGCAATTGTATAATACAATGCATGAAGTACAACAATTCTTTACCCACCAAAAATATCAAAAAACTGCTATTCCACAATGCAACATGTGAAAAGTAAATGTTTACAACAAGCGTACTACCAATTGCAAATAAGGGGTAAGTTGTAAAATTATGAATTATTTGAAAGCGTCTTCCTTCTAATCCACAAACTTCACTTCATTCTTGAGATGCCAAGAGGGAGTATACAGCTCCATTGCATAGGCAGTTTCCAGAGGGCTGTGAACTTGCACAAGTGATGCAGCACAGACTTGGTCCTTAAGTATTTTGGGAAGGGGAGTTTAAACAAAACAATTCTTTCATTTAATGTTAAGCGGGGTGTATGCATTTTTGTCTTATCCCTAAAGAAGTAATGTCCATGGAAAAATGGATTGTTTTAAGAGTACTCAGTAGTGAACTGGAAGGTATAAAATCCACAAACTTGTCTCACTACTGCACAGTTATAATGGATATGATTTAATATAAGACTGAAGTGAATTCACTTGAAGCTAAAAGGTATTCTGAAGGGAGGAGGTAGTCTGAACCACTGTTGTGAAATATGTCTTCAAAAGTATGGAAGGAATGTATTGGAAGAGGTTGCAAAAGTTTTCACCAAGGATATTAATTGAATTTGTTATTGGTCTTTTGGAAAATTATTTGGATTTCTAAGGTTGCCTCATCATAGTGCTTGACAACAGCATTGTCAAGCTTGTTCTGGGGTATTAAATGATTTCAATTGTTAGAAAAATGAATTGCTTTTTTAAAACCATTATACACGATATACACTTAAGATAAAAAGTGTACTTATGATTGACAAGATTGTAGAGATTACTTGGTATTAATACACTTTTTTGTGTATGTGGTTTGATACAATATACAGTGGTTTAGGTGCAACTTGTAAAATGATTTTATGTATAAAATCAAGTATGAGCTAAAAAAAGCTTCGTAGCACAAGGTATACACCAAATATTTCTTAAACCATTTTTATTTTTTCTGGGATATACATATGGGAGGAAAAAATGTACATAGTTTATCAAATAATTCCCCCCAAAATGAAACAATCTAGCATTGAGGGAAACAATTATTTGAAAGTACAAAAATAGCCATATATATATAGTAAACATATGGTTGCAAAGTCATTGTAATCATTACCATTGCCACAGTATACCTGTGAATTAATAATTATCACTTATCAGTCCATAATAAGCATCACAGCAACAATCCTCTATGCACGAGCTGAGAAACAATACACAAAATACCACTTCAAATGCTTTTTATAATAATACTACCATTTATGTTAATGGAAAGACACAAACAAATCTTGATATAAGATTTTTTTAGAGCAAATTTGATGAGATCCATCTCAAGAGTTACAAGACTACTGTTTCCCCAAGAATCGATATCTACCACGTACATGCATTTGCTAAAATAACTTCCAATATCTAGGGAAGAAAATAATCTTGAAACATTTAGGAGAAACAGTAAAAGATAATTCCATCTAAATGGACAAAACAATTACTTTCTATATCAAATGACATCTTTCAAGAAAATACAATTTTTTTTATCAGAGAAAATACACAATGCAATTTACAGGGCAGCTAAACACAATTCTTCCTAGTATTCAATTTGAAATTATCTGATTGAATTCACAATTTAATTCATGTGTCTATGTATTGCTTTATTCCATTGTACTAATTTTCTCGTACCTTTTGTTCATTGGCTAGTGGGATAAATGCTCTACTGCCATACAAAAGAAATTTTTTTTATGGAGAATAGTTACATAGGACAATGACAGTATTGCATCTGAATTAGTTTGGTTAATGTGTGAACTCTTCAACTTATTCTACATTCCAAGCAAAGTATTCTATAATTATATTTTTTTTAAATTCAAGAAAGTATTTCAATCTGTTAAATAAACTATAAAATAATTTCAGGGAATAAAAACATGAACTATTATTAATCTGCCATTTCATTCAACATGTTCTTAAAAAATGATTGAACATTAAGAGAAATGTCCCAATTATAATTCAAGTTACATATGATGGTAAATCAAGGTAATTAGTTATATTTCAAACAGTCATTTGATAATGAAAAATGTTCTAATTTTAAAAAAATTGAAGACTGATATCTTCAAACTGCTTTCCAAATTTCTGATTACAAATTTTCTTTGAAGATGACTAGACTGTTACATTGCAACAGCATCTAGCCCTAAACCATTTTAGGTACAGATTCAATTAGAACAGAATATTTGCCCATCATCTCAGAATGCTTCAGTTATTTTGCTTGAATGTCTCAAAGTGAATTTTAAGAACAGAAAGAAGACCACCAAAAATTCAGAAAGCAAATAAATGTTCTTTTCCATACTAAACAAATACCATTCCTTCAGATCAGATCTCAAACTCCACAGTTATACTTGTAGAACCATACACACACAATTGAGTACACATTCTATTTTTGCAAGTGCAAATATACTCAGCTGCAGTCTAAGCAACATTGAAACAAAAAATTCTGAACTATGATGAAACTGCAGTTCCTAAGTATACCTTCAGTTCATATAAGGAATTAATTTTAACAAGTGTTGAATAATAAAAATATATTTCTTTGGTATAAAAGTGAAATCAGGTGTAATACTATAAAGGTACAGTAAATATAATTAAATTGTGATACTATAAACACAAACAAAAGTCAGCAGTAACACATCCAACAAGAATTGTTAAATATGACAATGACATTGGGTACATGTAAATGCGTCAGGAAGACAACTCCTACACGACATTGGCTACTAACCAATGTTAGCTAAATCTTTTTGGTTTATATTTTTGAGACACAAAAAAGACTATTTTCAGGCAACATAAAAAATATTTCATCATTCTGAATATCTTG